CCTCCAGGAGAGGAGAAGTAGCTCCTTGGCTTAGCAAGATGTGGATATTTACTAAACTACCAGTTGGGTAGGGGCTAAGAGGGCAGATTCTACACTGAGGCTGTCTGGAGCAGCTTGGAGTTTGCCTTCCACTCAGCCTTACTCACTTGGTTCTGCTGAAGAGTGATGGATTATTACAGTGGCTGGAGAATGTGAAATTAGAGTTAGTGGGCATGGTTTTGGCTCCAAAAGTCTAGATTGAGGTGAAGACTAGAAGGCACCTCTCACTTCCCTAACCCAGCCGTAACAATAATAAGGCACTGCTATGATTTTGATTTTGCCATCAACATAGTTTCTAAATGTTCGAATGTGAATGGAGATTGAAAGGAGGCAAACCTTCAAAATTTAATGTCAGGTCCATGAGGATAGCCATATTTTCCCCTTTTCATTCACCACTATGTCCCCAGAACTTGGAACAGTGTAGGTGCTCAAAACATATTTGTTGAATAAGTACAATTACTGATCTTGACACTTCTTTGTGATGAACCCAAGCTTTGTTGGTTGGGGCTCAAACTACATGGTGAGTTTGGAGAAGCCATTGCTAGTGGCTTTGGCCTTGGTCAGTTAGCTGTGGCTTTTATTATGGCCACACTGCTATTACAGGCATAGATAAAACTGAAATTAGAGAACTAGAGCTTTAATCTGCAAAAATTTAACCTGCTAGATTGTGCAAGCAATAGAGGACATTAGTGTATGGTTTTTGATCTTTTGATGGTTGGTATTAGATATTGGAAGGTAATCAGAAATCTTCTACTTGTAAGTGACTCAAACTAATAAGGTAGTTAACTGATCAGTTCTTTTACTGCATATTTATCTACCTTCTTTCTTATTGATAACTCAAGTGTTGTTTTCTTGCCCCTAATTCACATTAGATCATCAACAACATTAAAATAAACTTGACCTAAGTGAGAGACAAAGATTCTCAGTTGCAAGCTTACAGAGCCTTTTACATTTTCTCTTCTGAAGAATAAAGAAAACTGAAGTTGAGGGAAGGGTAGGGCAGATATGTATGCTGATGGAAATTGAAAAGAAAGGATGGATGGAAGGGTGTAGTGATCTCTGAAATGGACTTACATTCAGGTTTCTCAATGAAAGAGATTCAGGGGATAAACTGTCTTTGAGTGTCACAAGGGTAAACTCCCCCTCTACCACCCTTTGAAAACCCACCATTCAATAGTCCTGGGTCTGAGGACAGTCACCATGACTCTTGCTTAAGAAAGCAACAAAAGCATCAACATCTCTTTGAATATTAGAGTATCACACAGGTTGGAAAAAAAAAGTCACAGTAACTAGTGCTTCAGAGACTGGAACAGGGGGAGTAACACTGCTCGTGCTCTTTCTCCATTTATCGATATTGTATTTCGTGTGTGTGTGTGTGTGTGTGTGTGTGTGTGTGTGTGTGTGTATGTGTGTGTGTTGGCCTTACTTTTTCCATGCTACAGATAGACAAGGAATTAGCCTACCTCCTTGCAAGGTTTAGGAAACCCACATTGTTTGGTAAGTGCCTTCTGATACTGATTGAACAGAAATCTGTTGTCTTGTGTGTTCTCCTGTGGTTCTTAGATTTAAGCAAAGAACACCATATCCCTCAATCCAGGAGAGCAAGTAAAATACCTGAGGGCATCTCTTGAGTCTTTCTGTGGTCTCTCATCTTCTTTCTCTTTCACCCCCACAATGTTCTCACTCCTCTGTCAGAGGGCACAGGTGGTGTGATGTAAGGTGGGCTGGCTGCTGTATATCTCTTGCTCATGCTCAGTGCCCCTAGGATAACTGGGAAGCTGATATTTATAAGCACAGCCCAGGATTACATTGTGTTTTTTATCACCATCTTCCTATTGATTCTTTTTCTACATTTAGCTGTTTACAGGACTCACATTCTTTGTAGCCCTTCTCAGAAAACCTGTGTCCTGTGTATCCAAGTTCATTGTTGCAAGTCTCTCATGGCCACCCTTGAGGCCATCTTGTGCTTAGTCCTGACCTTGTCAGAGAAAACATTTGCAATGGTGAACTTCCCTGGGCTCTTTCTCTTGTGCGCCTCTGCAGTTGTGGATATACATAAATACATGTGGGAAAAGGCTTGGACAAAGTGCAAACCCTCAGATTGTGCACTGAGCCCTACAAGAGGGAGGCAGTGGATACTGGCTAGAAGCTCCTGGGAACACTGTTGGTTATGTTTCATTTCTGTAGCCATCTCCTCCTGAGTTGATGCCCTTGTATCATTACAGTCCCCTGGGGTCATATTGGCATAAGGGAAAGAGGAGAAGGAATTGAGACAGGGAAGCTTCCAAGCAGCCTTTCTATGTTTTTCTTCTACATATTCTTTGAGAAGCTTTGTAGTTCCTTGGACCCTTCTTGAAGTTGAGGGATTCCCTGGCCATGATAATGCAAGATTCTCCCTGACACACTTTGGTATCAGTGGGAAGGTGCTAATACATGAAATGAAAATTAATTTGCTTCAACAACTTATTCTGAGAAACTGCTATGTAGGAGGGAAGATTTGGTATCTAAAGGAAGTGCATAAATGAAAGAGATAAATTTCTGCCTCTGTGGACCTAGAATTTGGTTGAGGAGAAGTGAGTAAATTGGCTAAGATAAAGAGAAGAAGTTATAGCACAAAGCCTAAAAAAATAAATGTCCCATGAGAAGGCAAAAATGCTATGGACCTCACAGAAGATAAGATGTTGCCTTTGGTTGAGAAGATGAGGACAGTCCCCTAAACAGTTGGAAGGGATTTAGGATGTTAATAAGAAATAGGCAGGTGAGATGCACAGCAATGAAAGTGTTTGAGATATGTGCAAAGTCATGAGCAGGGACAGAAAGGGAAGAAATCCAATGTGTTGGAGGTGGCTAGTAAAGAAGAGAAGTTGGTTAGAATCTGCCTTAGCCTAGGTTTATACCAGAAAGCAGAGCCTGAGACAACAATTTGCATGTAAGATGATGACAAGTGACCCTAGGGAACATAAAGAGGGGCTGGGGAAATGGAAGCAGGGAAATGAGGTAAGTCAGTTCAGGATGTGTTCTTGAACTTAGCCCTGCCATTGGTGATTATGTCTCAATACTGCTGGAATCCCCTGATGAATCATGAAGATTGGATGCATTTCAGAATTGTCCACCTGTAGAATGGATAAGAGAAATTTTCCCTCACCCACTCTCATTCCCCATTGGTCAAGGGTTCCCATGGAGCAGCTCCCTCTCATGTCCAGGTTTATGCATGTGTGAATTCCAACTTAGGTTCCAGCAAATTTCCTTCCCCAAGTTATCTTGGGAGCCCTGGAGCAGGAAGAGAGAAATGCTCAATGTTGCTGAGACAATACACTGCCGGGTTACACCTCCTCAAATCTTGTTGCATGGCAATGACTGGAGGAAAAGTTCTGCTAACAGCATGTAAGGTGGGGTTCAAGGAGTATCCCAAACAGAATCATGGGCACTGAAGCAATAAGAGACAATGCCAGAAGCATAGGTTTTGGGACAAATTATGCCTGGTTGAGAAATTTGAATTCAGCAGTAGATATCCATTGCAAGACCCAATACATCTACTTGTCATGTGCAAAGAAGGACAAGGTCTCTTGAGAGAAGACAGCCTGTTATGCTCGTGTTCATGCTCAGGAAATTACAGTATATTTTTTGCAGTCTACATGGTCTTAGTGGATTTGCAGATTATATTACAAACTTTAATTAAAATAACCCTTACAAAATGGACAACTGGATTAAAAGTATCCCTACAAAGAAGGTGTAGCTTGAATGTATGCTACCAAATTTCCAGAAAACATGAATAATAACAATGTATCATAGCTGATATGCCTCCTTCCAAATACTTTATAAAAACAAAAAACATTCCATTCTAGAAGTTGTCTGAAAGAACTTAAAACCAATATAAATGATTTTTTGAAATATGGATTGATTTACATTCACCATGGTTAACAATTGATCTTAACCAAAGTATGGTTGACCCTTGAACAACATGGGGGTAGCAGTACAGTCAAAAATTCATGTATAACTGTTGACTTCCTAATAACTGAACTAATAACCTCCTGTTGACAAGGAGCCTTGGCAATAACACAAACAGTCAATTAACACACGTTTTGCATGTTATATGTACTATATACTGTATTTCTACAATAAAGTATGCTAAAGGAAAGAAAATGCTATTAACTCGTAAGGAAGAGAAAACATTTGTTATTCATTAAGTGGAAGCGGATCATCATAACAGTCTGTATGCTCATCATCTTCACATTGACTGAGGAGAAGAAAGAGGAGGGGTTCTTTTGCTGTCTCAGGGGTGAAGAGGCAGAAGAGGTGGAGGAGTTAGAGGAGGAGGCAGGAGAAGCCAGGACATTTGGTGTAACTTTTATTGAAAAAAAAAATCGTTTTTAAGTGGACCAGTGCAGTTCAAAATCATGTTGTTCAAAGGTTAAGTGTATACACTGTGTGTCAAATTATTAACTAATGACATTAAGAATCCCTTATGATTATGAAGACATGCAAACTTTCACATTCATCTCATTCTTTAGCTTTGTCTTTGGGTTAGGTATTATAATGTTTATAATACACATGCAAAAAATTAATGCATCCTATTCTTTTACTGAAAGAATTGTATGAACAAAAATGTCACGGATCCACAACTCTCCACCATGGATTCACAGAAGGAATAGGAATGGATGGTTGTATCAAGCAGCATTTTGAGGGTTGACTAAACTGGGCATGGTAGCTGAGTGGTTGGTGGGGTAAGATCAAGAAAGGATGGAAAGTGATTCTTAGTCATTATCCTGGGATAATGACATTCAAGTGAGGGTCTTGGTGCAGAAATGGATGTTTGGAGGAGGTGGTGGCTTTTGGAAGAGTAAGGTAAGCTATGGATGGGTTGAACTGCTGGTGAACTCAGTTGCATGACGACCTGGTAAGATGACTCTGACAGCTTAATTCTCTAACCTGGAATCAGCCACCCACAGCTTAGGCTGAATTTAATTCACAGAATATAAGTAGAAGTTAGTGTTATTAGTTTTGTTCCTCTCCTGGGTTAGAATGATGGGCTGTCCTGATGTGGAGGAGGGGGCTGTGAACCAGCCAGGGTAAGAGACTAACTGAAATAGAGAGGTGGAGCCTTCTTTATTGTGGAAAAAGAGAAAGGGCTTCTCTGCTTTGTTCTCCGTGTACAGGTCCATGATATTTTTCTCCTGGGGGTGGAAAAGAGGCTTGTTAGAGAGGAGGGTGGGAGGAGGAAGCTAAAGTAACTCAGCACTGAGTGTACAACAGGAGAGTCACTGCTGCCCCCAAAGGAAGGGACAGAGGCTCGGGACACAGGCAGATGAAGCAGGGCATCAGGCTGTTAAAACAGGGAATTCGCTGGGTTCCCATGGCCTAGCTCCACCCCAGGATCCTCTGACACAAGGTGCTTCTGACTCTTTGAAGTATCATTGTCTTCTCTGGAATAGAGGGAGGTTTAAACCTCTTCTTGGTGCTTTTAGTATGCATTTATCTGCAGGTTAAGGCCAGTCTTGCTGTATTCTTAACTCCCAAATGGCCTTATGCATTACAACTTTCATCAATAGCAGAAGGACTAGCTTCATAACTACAATATTGCCTTGGTAAGATTTGTGTGTTTATGGTACACAGACTATAAACATGTAATCTGCAAAATTCACATTAACAATCTCTTTTTGTCTCCTCTGCTGTGCAGCAGCCTTTGCTTTAGTGAGAGCATCCTATCATCTTAGAGGGTTTCCAGAAGGTAGTTAATCAGGACTGAGAATGGAGAAACTACTGTTCTTTGGCTTTTCTGAAACATTCCTGTAAGTGTGTTTGCTATCTTTCAGAGGATCTATGCTCTGACATTAAAAAAAGTGTTATCTCCCTTCCAAAGGCAGCATTTATAGATTTGGGGATAAGCCAAGTCCGAATTATTTTCTTACTTTGAATAATCCAGAATTGCAAGAATATTACTTTTATTCGGCAACATATTGAATGAAATCAAAAGTTCATTTGATGGTACTTCTCTCATTAGCTGCACAATGACTCACCTTAAGCTGCAAAGTAGGCTTGCCCTGAATTTCTGCACAGAAGAGACAGAGCTCTTTTTCCTTGATTCCCAGGTAAACTACATTACCCTTTTTCTCATCACCAAATTCTGTGTCTCTACAGGCTATTAAAGCAAGAGTGACTGGAAACACAAAGGAAAATGAAGGTGTTAGGCTCCAAGTAGCATGAAGTTTCAGTCTTTCTGGTCTGACACTTAGTTACTCCTCCCAGGCAGGGAATAGTGACAGGCTTCTCCCAGACAGGCTCTTTCTATTAGCTATGTGGCAGGCACCCTCCATCACCCTCCTCAAACCCATTTTGTTTTTCTTCCTTAATGTCAGAACCCCAGTTGTCACCAGAACACATTGCTTCCCAAAAATAAAGGTAAAATTTCCTACCACCCTTGCAGCAAAATGTGGTCATATGCTTAAGATGTAGCCCATGAGATAAATGTGGGGAGCTTATATCTCATGGGCTACCACAGGAGATGGGATGGGAGCTACACAGATAAAGTGAGAGGAAGCAGTGAGAATGTAATGGCAGTGGTGCAGGCAAGAGATGATGTTATCTTAGAAATCAGGCATGTTTTGCACACAGACCTAGCAGTCTTTGCTAATAGATTGGATGGAGAGTGAGGGAAAGGAGGAATCAAGGAAGCCTCCTGTATTTCTGGCTCAAGGAAATGAAGTGGATGGAAGTGCCACTAACAGAGACTATTAATGGTTTTGAGAAGACAGAAGCATAGTTCCACTTAGGATACATGAATTTAGAGGTTTCTGAGAGAACCTCAAAAGGATGTGGATAAACTATTCAGAGGAGATAACGTGTTTGAAGTGTAAATGGCAGAGTGAATGAGCATAGGGGTGATTCATCAATTCAAAAAACCAGCTCATTACCCATTTACAGGGCTCATAAATGATTTCTGAGGAATGCCATCATTTGGAGATTTCAGAGATAAAGAAGAGTCATAAAGGAAAATGCAAAAGAGGAGCCAGTGAACCTCATGAGAAGGAATGTTCTTATAGAAGGAGAAGATGTAGAGTATTCAAGAAGGAAATAGTTCATTACACCAATGAGCTGAGGGCCAAATAGAATGGGGACCAAGAAGCATCTGAAGTATTTGAAGGTCATGGGTGAGATAGGAGGTTGGGGGAGTAGTCAGAGTAATCCAGACATTAGAATGTTTGGATGTAAGGATGACTAGGAGGTAAAGCAGATGCAAACTATGCAGCCAGCTCTCATGAAGTTTGGCTGTGATTGGCGTAAGAAAATGTGTTGATAGGAATAAAATGTGGGAATCAAGAAGGTTTTGGCAGTAAGATTGGCGATATTAGATTACAGCATGTCTGACGGCGATAGAAAGCGTCCAGTAAACAAAGGTGGAATTTGCAGGGAAGCAAGGAATTAAATCAAACATTGATGTTCTGGAGAAAGGGAAAGAAGCTGAGGTGGACTGCCTTTTGATGGGAGGAAGGACTGTTTCCCCATTATTAGAAAAGAGGATGCCAACTTAGAAAGCTGTGTAGGTTTGGTGGTAGAAAGACGATGGAGTTTGAATCTCAGGACATAGGTAGCCAGGTTTGGAAACTGAAGGAGAGAAACTCCAAGGGGAAGGTCAGCTGTTGCTTGAATGGATAAGCCCTTCTAATCTGAAGATATTTTCTTTAAGTAAGAGGAGCTGTCAACTCCTTGCACTGTCATTTATAGATATGGGATTTCCTTTGTCAAAAAGAATCATAGTGCCATTTCTCACTTGACCTTCCTGTGGTCATTGGGCTGGTGCCTAGAAGTGGGCAAGGTCCAGGGCCAGCCTTGTGCAAGCTCAGCCTCATTCCTGGTGAAGGTGGCATCCCCTCAAGAAGCAACAGTGGGCTTGATTGTCACTCACCAGGCTTAACACTTCTGCTAAGAGGAGGTGCTATTAAAGAATTTCCACTCAGGACCCACATCATCTTTTGAGAATCATGAATAACATAGGATTTGGGTGCTACCTCCACTGCCAGATGACAAAAATGCACCTAATACATGTGAGGTTATCAACTTCAGGACTCCAGTTCCATCCTGGTGTTAATGGTTTTTGAGTTTCTGGAGAGAGTCTCATTGCTCTGAGAAGTAATGGCAATAAAGGTAAATAGAGGGGAGATAGGGCAGGGGCTAGTTTGTGAATCAAAGCATCTGAAAGGATCTATATGCAATCACAGTCCCAAGATTCACCTTTTTCTAGGGCTACTAGTGACTTGTCCTTTGCTGAATGATAAAATGTCTAGGTGGTAACAAAACCCCATAATATTTAAATTAGTTATCAGTATGTTGTTTTTAAAAAATCCTCTTATCAAAATAAACAAGGAATTCTAAATACAGATAACAGCAAAAGAGCTAGATGCCCTGAGATTTTCGAAGGCTGTTTTATGAACTGAGTTTATTATTATTATTATACTTTTAAGTTCTTGGGTACATGTGCGGATTGTGCAGGATTGTTACATAGGTATACACGTGCCACGGTGGTTTGCTACATCCACACCCCTGTCACCTACATTAGGTATTTCTCCTAATGTTATCCCTCCCCAATCCCCCAACCCTTTGCTCCCTCTCCCCTAGCTCCCCCAATCCCCCCAACAGGCCCCAGTGTGTGTTGTTCCCCTCCCTGTGTCCATGTGTTCTCATTGCTCAACACCTGCTTATGAGTGAGAACATGTGGTGTTTGGTTTTCTGTTCTTGTGTCAGTTTGCTGAGAATGATAGTTTCCAACTTCATCCATGTCCCTGCAAAGGACATGAACTCATCCTTTTTATGGCTGCATAGTATTCCATGTGCCACATTTTCTTTATCCAGTCTATCATTGATGGGCATTTGGATTGGTCCCAAGTCTGCTATTGTAAACAGTGCCACAATGAACATATGGATGCTTGTGTCTTTAGGATAGAATGATTTATAATCTTTTGGGTATATATCCAGTAGCAGGATTGCAGGGTCAGATACCATCTCTGTTTCTAGATCCTTGAGGAATTGTCACATTGTCTTCCACATGGTTGAACTAATTTACCCTCCCACTAACAGTGTAAAAGCATTCCTATTTCTCCACATCCTCTCCAGCATCTGTTTTCTCCAGATTTTTTAATGATTGCCATTCAAACTGGCATGAGATGATATCTCAATGTGGTTTTGATTTGCATTTCTCTAATGACCAGTGGAGATAAGCATTTTTTCATATGTTTGTTGGCTGCATAAATGTCTTCTTTTGAAAAGTGTCTGTTCATATCCTTTGCCCACTTTTTGATGGGGTTTTTTTCTTGTAAATTTGTTTAAGTTCTTTGTAGATTCTGGATATTAGCCCTTTGTCAGTTGGGTAGATTGCAATTTTTTTTTTCCCATTCTGTTGGGTGCTGGTACACTCTAATGATGTTTCTTTTGCTATGCAGAAGCTCGTAAGTTTAATTAAATCCCAATTGTCTATTTTGGTTTTTGTTGCCCTTGCTTTTGGTGTTTTAGTCATGAAGTCCCTGCCTATGCCTATGTCCTGAATGGTATTGCCTAGGTTTTCTTCTAGGGTTTTTATAGTGTTAGTTCTTATGTTTAAATCTTTAATCCATATGGAATTAATTTTTGTATAATGTGTAGGAAAGGGGTCAGTTTCAGCTTTCTGCACATGGCTAACTAGTTTTCCCAACACCATTTATTAAACAGAGAATCCTTTCCCCATTGCTTGTTTTTGTCAGATTTGTCAAAGATCAGATGGTTGTAGATGTGTGGCGTTAATTCTGAGGCCTCTGTTCTGTTCCATTGGTCTATATCTCTGTTTTGGCACCAGTACCATGCTGTTTTGATTACATAGCCTTGTAATGTAGTTTGAAGTCAGGTAGTGTGATGCCTCCAGCTTTGTTTTTATTGCTCAGGATTGTCTTGGCTATGTGGGCTCTTTTTTGGTTCCATATGAAGTTTAAGGTGTTTTTTTCCATGAACTGAGGGTTTTAGCAAAAGTTAATATATTTATAGCTTAGCAAATGATAGGGGTCTTTCCATCCTATTGTCTTCGATGAGGTCGTGTGGAGATATTTCCAAGCTAGTTTGCAATTCACTGCTTATGTGGGTTCATGATGTCTTCAGAGCCTTTTGTGAGGAGGACAAGGTAGATCAGATGGCGGGAAGGAGTTTGTCAATGGCTTGCCATGTGAGAGAAGGAGAGAAGAAAAATGTTATCCTTTTTTTCTCCTCTCCACCTAAAATTTTACTGTAAAAATTATTTAGAGAGAACTGCCCTGAGAGCCTCTCCCACGTGCATATTTGAGAATAAGGATGGGCACAGCATATTTCGAGGTGAGAAAACCCTGAATGGAAGCTCCCATATCTGCTGTGGCTGGCATAGTCCTGTTTCTCCAGGCTGTGATGGTCTTGGCATACATTCCATTCATCACATATGGCATTGTTAGGAGATTCCAACACATCACCACAGGCACCTTCTCGTGCTCTGAGTCTCATGAGTTGAGAGGAAGGAGGGAGTGTGTGTGTGTCTCCATTTTAGCTCTCCACACAGTGGGTTAATCTATACTTTTCCTGACTTCAAGCTGAACACTCCTAAGTAATTGGTAGCTAGCCTGCCTCACTGAGCCCATCTTCCTCCATTCCTCAACTAAAGAGGGATCTGTAAGGATCCTGCACATGGCCGTTGATGGGCCCCATGAGGTGCTTTGACTATTAGGGGTCATCTGCCTCTTTCTAGTTACGTCACCAGAACAGTCCCCAAGAATATCACAGACCCTCCATAGTGAGAATCAGTTGTTCACAACCCTCCTTCCCTCAGGGTCCTTGATGTCTGACTCAATAGTTGTTCCTACACGGTGGGTAAGCAGATCACCAACCTGCACCCTTGTAAGCAGCCCTTTGACAAGACTCCCAGAGGCACCCTAAGGCTAGACACACAGAAGTGAAAGAAGTTCCCCACACCTGGCTTCTGAGCAGCAGATTACCTTTAGCAAGTGATGCTCTTATCCCCAGTTCAAAGTCAAGGCTCTACCTGCATGAAAGTGTTCTGAAAACTGTTCCAGGACTCCCAAGCCCCTTAGTGACCAAGGAAAGAGCATCCTCTCCTGCCCTTGGGTGTGTTCACTTTGTCAAGAAAGCTGATAGGGCCCGAAGGTCTTGTGAGGCTCTGGATGAGTGATAGTGGAGCAACACAAGTATAACTGGTCTGTGCTTCCTGACTAATAAGAGCAGAACCAACATCAGAAAACAGCAATGAGGAAATGCAGATTAGACCAGATGGTGAGTTGAGGAGAATGCCTTTACTGGTCTTCCTTGGAGGCAGAGGTGTGACTTTCTTTACTCACTAAACTGCATGAAGCCATTGCTGTGTTTCCATCTGATGTTAGGCCAATCACAGTACTCCTTGCAAAAGTTTTACACACCCACTGTGTCACATTCATATTGTACAAATATTGAGAGCTTATTCTGTTTCTGATAAAGTTGTAAGAGCTTTACCTGAATAAGTTTTTAATCTTCATACACAACTCCTCAGGGGCCATTAATCTTATTTCTCATGTAAGAAAACAGAGGCTCTGAGGGATGACAGAACATGCCCAAAGTCATACAGCTACTAAGAAATGTAGCCAAGTTAGAAGCCAAGTCTCTCTATTCTGAACCATTATGTGACAAGCCTTCTGTGAGTCATAGTCTCCTGCATGCTGCACTAGCTGGAACACAGGTCTTGCTTTCAGTTGTGGATACTGAAAAATCTATAATGCGTCCAGGAGAGGAGAGACTCCCAGCGCCAGCAGAGCCTAAAGAAACTGGGGGGTCACATTCTTTGGAAGAATTTGGCAGAAACTCCCACCCCGACTCAGAACTTTTAGACACTTAAAGTTTAGAAGACTGAAGGCTCTCATGACTCCATGCAAATAAGCCAGTGGTTGGCAGAAGGGTTGAAATCATGACATTTTCTCCAAGGGATCAATGTTTCAAGTGATGGGATGTCCAACCCTCAAAAGAATTTGAACCTGGGAGCTATTTACTTCCTGTGAGCACCTCATGATGGAGACAGGCAGGGTGACACTGATGGTCACACTGTCCAAAAAAACTACACGCACTGTGTACTGAAATCAAAGGAAGCCAGACTGTACCAGAAGTGTGGGAACCCCTCCCTCTGGAAACCTAAAGACAGTTCTGCAAGAACTCTGCCTTTTCTATCCTTTCCTACGCTTGTTCTTGGCCCCCAACATCTCAGCACTGCTAGGGGAACATGATCCATGTGCCTATACCCACCATCCTGAGAAGCTCTTCTGAAAAAAAAAATAAATAAATAACAAGAAAGTTGTGAAGTTTGACTGGGATATTGTTAGAGGACCTCATATCCAGTGAGAAAAAAGCAAGGGAATATAGCAATATCGAAAGTAGAAATTAAAGAAGAAAAGGAAAAAAAGAGAGAAATATTTTGATTTTTATGGCTAGATGACTTGATGGTTAATAGATGGCTTAGCTAAATAAATGAGTTAGCTAAGGAAATAGATTAAGAAGAGGAGAATCCCAGGAATCACAAAATAGTGGCTTCGCCCAGGGAGGGGGTTTGAAGATTCTCAGGATGAAGCTGTGTTTCTGGTATAGAGAATGCCTTTCCTGACTGGATCGAGGATTGGGATAAAAGAAGGGAAGTGGTTTGGTGGGGAAGACATGAAGACATACCAGGCTCTGTTGTTTGTAATTTTGCACTTTTTGATTCTTTTTTTTTTTTTTTTTTTTTTTTTTTTT